AAAAACAAACAAAAAAAAAAAATACTCCGAAAAACAAACCAAAAAAAAAATTACTCAAAAAAACAGAAATAATTACTCCGAAAAACCAAAAAAAAAAAAAATTACTCCGAAAAACAAACCATAACAAAAAAATACTCTGAAAAACAGAAAAAAAACAAAAACAAACCAAAAACCAACCAAAAAATAAATTACTCCGAAAAACACAAATAATAATTACTCCGAAAAACAAACCATAAAAAAAAAATACTCCGAAAAACAGAAAAAAACCAAAACAAACCAAAAACAAACCAAAAAATAAATTTTCAAGTGAATGCAATACGCTTCCGTACGCGGAAAGAAAAACCCAAAGAAAAACAAGAACACAAAAAACACGAGAAAAGAAAAACACATTTAGGTCATTTATTCCCTCTTTAACGCTCAGACTACATTACCCAGAATCCTCGGCTGAAAACAGACAACACGAGCGGCACGTGTGGCATGATGGCGGCGGCGGCCTGCAGAGAGATGGTCGGTGTCGGTGAGTCCAGCAGCAGCGATGAAGAGGAGGTGCTGAGGAGGTGCCAGGAGGCGGTTTGGGAAAATAAACCCGACACAAAGAAAGGTGAAAGTCTTTATCTAACGGCGGGAAACAGACAGGAAGGGAGCGTTACTGCGCAGACGCATAAACTGCAGCAGGAGTGCGACAGGAACGTACGACCGAAGTCCATTTAGAAAATGTCAGATTTAAGTTATTTCTGTATGTCTGAGCTCATTGTTTGACTTTAGAGCTCATTAAGTTGCTTTAGCGTCTTTCAGCCTGCTGGTTTTAACTTTCGGCACCAATAACAGCATTAATTTCATTATTGATTAGCTGTTTGAGCCCAAGTTGATGCTTCAAGTCCTCAAATGTCTCAAAGATTTTCAGTTTATTGTGATTAAAGAATCAGGAAATATTCACATTGGAGAAACTAAAATCAGAGAAAAATGACTCAAAACAATTAATCGATTATTAAACTAGTTGCTGATTGATTTAAAAAGTTGACAACCAGGGGCGTGTCCAGGGGGGGGGGGGGGGTTACAACATATCTGAATATAAATGGTTTTATTGTTGTTTACAGACACTTTATACTAATATAATGCAGTTTATATTTTATAATTCAGTATTTAATTAAATGTTAATAACTGTGTTTCAGATGGCGACACCAGTGTGCAGCAGTCAAAGCGGTGAGTCAATAAAACCACCGACTGTAAACTATTATTATTATTATATTACTAATATTAATGTTATTAGGAAGGAAAAATAGTTTCTTACTAGTTTTTCTTTTTATTTCTTTTTTTGTGTTTACTAATTTGACACATTAACACATTTTCTGTTTATTAATATTTTATTTCTTAGTTTTAATATGTGGTTTAGTTTCAGTTAGTTTTAGTTTCTTCT